TTTTTTTTTTTTTTTTTTTTTTTTTTTTTTTAATTATTATTAATTTTTTATTAATTACTTTTTGTACTTTTGTACATTTGCTTTTTGGTTCTTTGGATTTCATTTGTAACTAAACTAGTTCATTTATTTTATTTTTGATTATTAATTGATTGGTTTGAGTTGGTTTTGCTTTTGGTGTATTTGATTAGTTGAGTGATTAATTTATTATCTCCTTTGCTATTCCATATTGTGAAACTAAGTTTCAGAGTACAAAAGTCAAATGGATTCGTTTTAATTAAAAGAAGGAAAAAAGAAAATCAAAAGAAATCGGAGAAGGACGGTCTGTGGGATGGATCACTGACGGGATCCGCCAACCCAAACAATAGCCTCCTGTGGAGCTGGAGGGAGTCCACCTTGAGTGGCGGTGGGCAAAGAGACCCATCATGCACGATTTCCTAGTTCTAGTTCGAGGGCGTCGATTACTGCAAGAGGTAAGAGGAGGATCGCTTTGGGAAGTTTAATACTGGTCTCAAAGTTGAGTCCTTTTGTTGTTGTACTTTGTTGAGCTTGTTGACTTTTGTTGGATGCATTAAATATTTAGTAAAGTATTACAGACACGAGTGTGGCGCAGGTCTCGCACCGCCACATGTTTCTCTTTGCTTTTTCCCTCTCCTCTCAGCCGGGCTGAGCTGATCGACTGATGGGTTCGGTTCGCAAAAAATAGATTGACTTAATCGATTTAGCATTCAGTAGTTCGATTGAACTAGATCGGACAGTGCGCCTGTCAAATCGCCCCAACAAGGTTTCCCGACGGGTGATGAACCCATTTAGTATCAGAGCGCGACAATCTCATTGTCTATCTTCTTTCCCGCTTTGGGAAGGTTACACGCCATCAGCTGTCATCGGTTGACTTAGGATTGGATCTGCTTTGCGGGATCGTACGGCTGTCCGTCCCATCCGTGCTTTTCTACCCGGTTGGTCCGCGCTCAGCTCATGGTGTGAAGCTTTTATCCTTGGTCCCGTCTATCACCAGCCCTCAAGGCGCTTGAAACCCCTCCTCCACTCTAGCCCCGCTTTCTCTGAGATTCCAGTTCAGACTATCGACGAGACTCTCGAAGAGGGAATGGAAGGTGGAGTTACTCGTGCTGCTTCCAAGGCCCCGGTGACTGTGCGCCTGGCGCGCTAGGTGATGGGTGATACTGCGCCGCTTTTCGTGCCTCCATTTCCCCTCCCTGCCGATCACACTGAATGACAGACAACAACCCCTCCGAGGGATTGGTGGCGGTCGCGACGATGGCAACTAGTCACTGTCCGTCGCCAATGATCCCAGAGAGCGGAAAGGCCATTGATATCGGTCTATCCGAGAACGGACGTCGAGTTAACTGGGGTTGCATATCGTCATGTGACATAGTCTCCTCTAGCTGCAGACACCACCACGTTCGCTTGGATTCAAGGCACCATCGCTTGCACAGGGATCCAGCTGTCGGGTTTCAATCCCGGTCTAGTTCGTCCCGGCGTATTCCATCCAATCTTGGGGCCTTAAGCGTGGCAAGGCCCAGCCGACCAGGAACAGTCAACCTAGTCCCCGACTAGACTGTCGCCACGTCGACCCCTGGCCAGGCTAATTCCCGCTAGGATGCTATTCGCTCGCCTGTAAGTTTCCTAGATGGATTATATTGGATGTAATTCATCCGTTTCGGCCAAAAACCGGGAATCGAGAATTTTGATAGCCTGCTGTTCTGGTGTGACCGGAGAGTCGTAGCCTCTCTCTGTTGCCCTTCACAACCCAGTAAGTCATATTCACATGATGGGCTGGAATCCTTGCCAGGAAATTTCTTGCCTGTACGCCGTAGTATGTAAAACCATTGCTCTTGCCTAGAGGCTTGTGCCACACTATTCCCAGCCCAACATCCCCACTACTATTGTGTACACACAGCTGGCCCACTGTTGGCTGCCAGATGTCCGTTGTGATGTATGCAGTGCCACTGCAGTCCCACACCGAACCCGACCGAAACCCCTCGAAATTTCATGCATACAACGTTGTTGCGTCTTCAAACCTAGTACTCTAGACCATCTACCCTGTATGGTGACGTTGTCATTTGGCTGGCGCCCAAACCAAGTTTCGCTAATCCCGAACACTCCCGTTATACAGCGGCGGCACATGTGCCGCCTGACCTACAGAGGCAGTTGGAGATGGAATAATGTGAAAGCCAACCGAAAGAGCGTAAGCACATGTCGGGCAGGACATCCCTGGTTAGATATTCGGACTCTCCGGTAACTGCTGCCGCATCTCCGCTCAGAGAATGCCGTAACCTTTCCACCACACACCCCAAATCATTGGCCCCAATGCCCCCAATACCGCCGCGCCTACTGGGATCTCCAAGATGCTCCACACCCATAGCGTCCCAATGGAAGGTGCTCGCTTCATGACAGCGTAGTATGGCTCTTCGTTGGTCATGGCCATCAGCTTAGCCCCAAGGCAGATAGCAAGCGGAAGGAAGACCATAGTCCGCAATGATGGCGGGAAGAGCAGTTTTCGAAGAAACGCGATCGAGAATTTATCTCGGTGGAACGGGATAAGCGAGACGTGTTCTGAGCTCTGGACATTACCGAAGGACACGATATGCCCATGCGCTAGGTGAATGGCAAACGTCAGGATCGGGAAGGCAACGAATACAGATTCGCGGATGAGTTTGTCCAAAACGATGTATTCCGCGTACTGATGAGCCGCGAGATAGGCTAACGTCATGTGTAACGTCGTCAGGGGCACCGAGAGCAGCACCGTGTCGATGAACGGTGGGATTGGCGCGTCCTCGTCTTCCCCAGACCCCGAATTCCCGTCAGATGCTGACCCCGTGATAGATTCTTTTGTTCCTTGTTGTTCGTTTGGGAGTTCCGATGCATCCAAGTTGGAAATCTCGCCAGACGTCGGGTCGATGCTCACGAATCGGGTCCCAGGAGTCGAACCGTCCATTCCGGTCGAGCTCCTGTCATGACCCAGGCCTAGCAGTTCGTTCTCCCGCTCAGCTATCAACTCCACTAGCGTCTTTTCTTTCGGGTTCTTTGTGGTGCTTCGGGGCGGATGGGCCATCGGGATGGAGGACGGATCGAAGGTGGAGTCGGAGTCGCTCTTGGAGGCAGCGGCGGCTGCTCGTCGTTGCTTTCGATTCCTAGGTGCTTCCATAATGGCGCGTAGTGTAGAGAAATTAGGCGTATGGGCAATCCGGCGTTGGTTGAGCTACAGGTGTTTGAACGGTTGTCGATGGAAAAAGCTCACCTGTCAAGTCGGGAGAAATGTTTACGATCGCCGCCGGACATTAGCGGAGTTAACGTTGCTATTTATGGACATGTCATATCATGCAAGCCTATACACACACTCCTTCAACTGAGAATTTTATCTCAGCATGGCTAGCTAAAGAAGACAATTTTTGTAATATATGAGCATCAATTAGTTCTCCCAGCATTGTTCCGTATAGATTATCTCGGCGAGTGCACGTCAATTAAAGGAATGCGCCCATCACCAAGCTTCCTCCCGGCTTCAAAAATGGAACAACACCTAGAAGATGAAATGTCCAGCAATTCTTAATATACATTAGCTTATCAGCTTAAACATGGCTCAAGATGAAGAATTTATCAACCAGATTTATAGAGGGCTGGGCCAGCAACCACGTGGGGATTGATCATTGAGAGGTTGAACGGACTCAAATAGGGGTCTGAGTCTGTGATCGCAATGAACATGGTGCCATTGATTGCAGGATCGCCGGCATAAGTCTGGACGTCAGGTTGAATTGTCGATCCATAGTTGTCGCCGGTCATTTCTAGGGGAGAATATGTCACATTCAGCTGCGTTACCCACACTACGTACTTGGGATCTCCTGCGCTCGTCGAGGTGATGTAGCTGTTGTTAGGTCCGACTGGTCGACCTGGTTCATCCCAGTGAAGAAACACCTCTCGACCTGGCCATGACAGGGGCATCGTGCGGTTATGTGTAATCGCAGGGTAGCAGCTAGTGCCCAGGGTAGTGGAGTTGACACACGAGTCGTCGCTGGGGACAGCGGTACTATTCAAAGAATTCACACCTCTCCTCCTACTGTCTCATTGAAAGCAGATGATCCGTTGATTCTCGCCGGATTTGGCTGGTTTTCGATGTATAAGGCAGGAAAGTTCTGCCAGGCCAACCTGGTCTGATTCTCGGGGCACGAGCTGATGTATGGTGCCAGTAATGTCCAAGCCCAAGACTGGGGTACACCAACCTCAAACCAGACCGGCGTTGGGAAAAGTCTTCCAATTGACGGAAAATCATTTGCTGCCTAGCTTCTGTAGTAATCGACTGGAGAAGAAGTATTGCTGTGCTGCTGCACGCGAATTGAGATGAGGTAGGAAACCATAAACACCAGACTCCCCAAAGCGAGTGAGCTTCTGACAGAAGTCCACAAACTCATGCACCATGGTATACGGATAGTTATAGGTGCACATCCTAGGGGCCTCGGCTCCTAGTATGTTGGTAACCATCGTTGCATGTCCAATCTCCTGAACCGCCATGAACTCGATCAAAAAACGATCCTCAGCCGTGAGCCCAGCAGCTGTGAATTCCTCTACCGAAAAGCGGGCCAAGCCACCGTGGAACAGATCAAGCTCAGTATATTCTTGATAAAGAGTAAGGGCCTAGTATGATAGTCAGTATGAGCCATTTAACCTATAAGCCATTTATTAGCATACCAACGACTCATAGTCGAAGTCGCTCTTCGCGTTGTAAACCGGCGTTTCTCCCCCAGTTCCAACACCCCCAGCTGGGATATATGGGCCTGGCTGAGGGTCGTGGAGTTGCCCATCGCTAGGGTAAGTTGTCACTGTGGGCGAGATTCCCAAGCTAGGAACCCCAGTATCAATTGAAGAAGCATGCAATGCCCCAGTGGTGGTTGGGGTGCCACTGAATGGAGTGTGGGTTAGCGAAGTTGGGTGACTGACCACAGGTGGAACAGTTGTAGATCGAACAACTTTTGCCTGGGGGAACTGCCAGTATCACTGGCACGGAGCTCAGGCAACTGAGCGCGAGAAACCGATTCAAGGACATCTCCAACCGCTAACGCGTTCAAATCACCACAGATTAACAAGGATGTATATTTATCAAGTTAAGAACCGGCTGATTGAGGTTATGAACGTTGATTATGGGCACCGGCAATTTATAAAGATTCCGTGTTCATTCCGTCAAGTTGCTGGGCCATGCGTGACGCAATTCCTCTATCATTTCGTCTATCATCTCCATTGCCAGTCTAGAATTGTGAATTTGACCGTGGTGATACCGTCATCCATGCCTTGTAGATGTTACATGCGTAATACTTGCGGCATGCCCATGTCACAACCATCCAGTTGGCAGCAAATGGGTGCCTAAAACGGGATAGAAGTACCTTATAATTGATCATATCTTCAATTGTTGTGGAGGAGCTTGCTCCTCGGCAATTTGGAACCTTCCAGTTGACTTCGATAGGCCGTTGAAACAGAAATGCCGGTGGTTTTAAAACCAGTCCCGCTACACAGCGTCTGAAAGTGGGCATAAAAAAGTGGATCTTCTCACTCACGGTGTTGGCAGGGATCGAATCGCATATACATAGTAGGTAAGTCAGTGGTGATTAAAATGATATTGTTATTATGTGAGATTTGACAATTCAGTGCACCGGTCAAGGTTGGAGCTACTGAGCTGGCTCGTCGAGGTGTGTATCGGCCACTGCCACGCTCAGAACAAAAGGGCATATATAGTTGCATAGCTTGCAGAATTAAAATGCATACAACGTGAAAAAAGTGGGACTGACGAATATTAGAAGTTGAGAGCCTGTTTGTGTTCAGTCGAGGCGCAATGCCGGAAAGTAACGGCTGGCCTGGAACGATGACGTGAAGCAAAGCTCATCTCTTTCTAGAAGGTCGTATCAATTGGAATCAGAACCCGACGAGCCGAATACCGAGTACCGGAGTTCTCGTAGAAGACACCTTCTAGCAAGTGGGGGAGGTGTTTCTTTTGACTCAGAGTTATGCGTTCCTGAGTACGATACACTTGTACGTTCCACAAACCTGGAGTTGGATTGCCGCCGTCTCGTGACCCAAAAGCCCTAATTTCAAACAGATGATCACCGGCTTACAGAGAGCATTGCGATGGTGAAGACCAAATGCAAATTCTCTATAAAGGGAGACTTTGGCTGCCTGTTGCCTCGAGGGGTGGTTGGATACACTTTGATACAAAGTTGGACCAACTGTCAACACCCGCGATTTGACCAAGCATAGTATTATTCAGGAGAGACGACCGTAGGATGTATCATGCAATTGAGCTAGCCCTGAGCTCTAATGGGCGTGGAATTATGGTACCTAAGTCTCATAGTATAGGATGTAAGACAGATAGATTGCTAGTGATAAAAGTGTCCGCCGTTGAAAACAAGCCTGATGTACCCAGTCTTGCTCCTCCAAAGAGATACAGATCAATTGCATTCTACAACTAGAAGGAACCGTAGTATGTTGAAAGGATTCTAGTTGGAAATAAAAGACTCGAAGGAGCAAACACCGGGGAAGGGGAGAATTACCCCGCAGGCAACTCGGTCCAACCCCGAGCGGGGAAAATGACGACTTCTACTTATCAATCAACTCATCCTTGTTCCTCCTCTATAAACCATTGGCATATCTCTGTAAGAAGGAAAGCCTGCTGACACGCTACTGCTACTTCACTTGACCCCTTGTCAACTACGGACATTTACGAACTTCACATCTTCATCCAAACATGTCTCACCTTCAACCCTCGAGTCTATTCTCCGTCAAAGGACTGGTCGTAGTCCTAACAGGAGGGGGAAGTGGTAAGTGCAAGCAGAATCATTGTTTGCCCTCGTATTTCTTCTTCTACAACCAATACGCAAGTGACAAGTCCACCATATCACCGCATAAATTGAGAAACAGGCCGCATTGAGCCAAGACAAGCAAAGAAAAGCAACGAACCCCATCACAAAGTACCGGCTAACAACAACACCACAGGCCTAGGTCGTATGATGGCCCACACGCTCGACGCAAATGGCGCATCCAAGATTTTCATCATTGGCCGCCGACAAGAAGCCCTGCAAGAAACCATCACGCAAAGCCCGAACAGCAAGACCAGCTCCATAATCCCCATCCAAGCGGACGTCTCCTCAAAAGCATCCCTCGAAGCAGCGTACCAGACTATCTCGGCACAGACAGATCACGTTGATCTCCTCATCGCTAACAGCGGCATTCTCGGCCCAAACGCCAGTCCCCCGCCTCCCAAGCCAGACGGATCCCTCCCCAGTCTCGCCGAGGTCCGTGATGCTCTCTGGTCCGTCCCCATGGATGACTTTACTAAGGTCCTGGATGTAAACGTGACCGGTGCTTATTATACGGCAGTGGCTTTCCTCCCGCTGCTGGAAGCGGCGAATAAGCGGCGGCCGGCACCTGTGAAGAATCAGATTGCTGCGCCTACTGCGCAAGTTATTATTACTACTTCTATTGCGGGGTTCAATCGGAAGGTGCCGATTAGTGCAGCGTATAATCTTTCCAAGGCAGCGGCGAATCATTTGGTGAAAATGCTTTCGACGACGTTGGCGTCGTATGATATTCGAGTTAATGGCATCGCACCGGGAATTTACCTATCCGAGATGTCGACGCGGAATTTCGAGGAGGGTGATAAGGGGATCTCGGATGGGTCGTTTAAGAAGGAGATCATTCCTCTTACGAGGGCTGGCGGCGAGGAGGACATCGCTGGGCTGATTCTTTATATGGCGAGTGCTGCGGGTGGTTATTTGAACGGGAATATCACCATTACTGACGGTGGAAGGCTGAGTACTGGGGTGGCAACGTATTAAGGAGACACCCTTGGCTTTTTTTCACGGTTCCATTCCATATCAATATGTAAATATTAGACGGGAGATACATGCATTGACCTTTTTATCGTCATGAACAGACACTACGTTGCAATGCTTATCGGAAGCTAGGGATAAGACACGGAGAATAGGGCTGCAGCTTGGGCAAATAATGCTGGAGCGGATTATAACCGACCAGTTTGTTGAAGATTCAGTAAGTGGCTGTGAGGCGCTGGACCAGGTAATCCCCGGTAACGATTGCTGGGTACTTTGCTTCCTTGATATCATCCCCATAGGTCCCAGGGATAGCTTCAATGAGCTTGTTGTTATTGGGATTGCAGAAATATGCAATACTGTAGCGGTCTGGGTACATGTCAGAGTTGTCCTCCTCACCAATGGGGGTTGGTGGCTCAACGACGCGATGACGGGTGCTCTTGATCAGATCATTCGACCATCGAGCCAATAGGTCACCCGCGTTGACGACCACTGTATCTGCAATGGGGGTCACATCGACATAGGTATCTTTGGGACTGTGCACTTGGAGCCCACCGCGACGATCTTGGAAGAGAAGCGTGATGGAGCCATAGTCGCTGTGCTCGCCCGCACGAACCTGCGACGGGTTCTTCCTGAAGACTTCCTTCGACACAGCTGGATAGTGCAGCAGTCGAAGATTATTGTCTCCTGCATCTACGTAGGAGTCAAAATAATGCTCCGGTAAGTTCATCCCAAGTGCGATGGCTCTCATCACTTCCGTGTGGAGAGATTTGCACATGTTGAAGAATGATGTCATGACTTCTCTGAAATCCTTTCCTTCGTCGTCAATCTGGTCCGGCCAGCGATTGGGTTGATCGTCCAGATTATCGCGACCAATCTCCATGGTTTCCTTGAGATCTGGGGTAGCTCGGAGAACTTCAGGCGCCGTTGGGTCGTCCACGTTGCTCAGCTTCTCTTGTCCCGTCTTCACGTAACCACGGTTCGCCTGTGGGGTAGTCCAGCACAGACTGTCTTTCTGGTCCTGGGGTCGCGCAAAGAATCGTGCAGATGAGCCAAACACCCGGGAGACGACGGAAGGAGGAAGACCGTGCTCCTTGAGATAGAGGAAACCGGATGTTTTGAATGCTTCTACAATGGAGACGGCGACGGCATGCTTATCAGCGGGTGTTCCGTTGAGAAAGGGACCGAAGTCAATGACCTACAATCATAAGTCAAACGCTCACGATATATAGAAAGATGAGTTGATCATCAAGTTGAATAATATAGTGAGAGCACTGCATTGATCTTTAGCTATTGTACTCACTGGAATGATAATATCATCTCTGTCAACAGCGGTGGTTGCTGGATGACATGACTGTTGTGGCAGATTACCCTCCATTTTGAAGGCTAGTTCTCAAGCATACAGGGCGGGTATGTTAGAGAAGTATAGTCGATTGAAGAAAGGGAATAATGGGAATGGGGATTTATGGTTAGGGAGAGGTTGAATGTTAACTGGCGTGGTGGCGCAAGATGAAGACTTGGTGAAGTCACTTCTACTCCACGGGACCAGAGGCGGGACAACGAGAGAGATGAAGGGGAAGATTAAAAGGCGATCCGTAAAGGAGTGGAAGATCCTCCCCCGTGACCTGCGTGAAATGATACTGCTTCCAATAGAGCGGGGAAGATAGTACATCAACCTAATATTATGTACACACATAGGTTGGTATCTAATCTTATCTTCTTTACTTGGATCTACATAGGACAGATAACAACTATTATTGATTTGAAGATTGATCAGGCCATGATAACAGAATTTAACATGCTTACAATTCTTGGGAAAAGAGTGATCTTGGAGATGATGTACACTGTAACCCCGCCCTCATTTTCATATGCATCGACTCCTCAGCTTCCCCTCCTCTTCATTGCAACCTCATCAACCTCACAAGCAAAGTACCAATTTCCCTTCTCTTGACACACATTCACCTCGCTGCAGGACTCAGAAGAGCAGAATAAATCATGCCACCTCTAATTATCGACATTCATACCCATGTCTACCCTCCTGCGTATATGGAAATGCTCCGTGTTCGCAAGAGCGTACCCTATGTGCATGATCCAGCTAATGGTGCAGACCCCCGCTTAATTATCCTGTCCTCAGATGATGACAGTTCCATTCCCCTCGATGAACGGGGTCGTCCAGTCGACTCATCCTATTGGAATATCGACGTGAAGCTGGCCTTCATGCGTCGCCATGGAATCAACTGTAGCGTGATTTCCCTCGCCAACCCCTGGTTAGATTTTCTTGAACCTGAAGAAGCGCAAACATGGGCGCAACGCATCAACGACGATCTTGAAAACACATGCGCACGTATTAACAAGGCTGGAGACCCAGACAAAACCCTGGCGCTACACGAGAAGGAATCGCTATTTGCTTTCGGCGCGCTGCCGCTAAGTGCTCCTAGCGCTGACATTGTCGTGAGCGAAATCAAGAGACTTAAAACCTTGCCGCATCTGCGTGGGGTCATCATGGGAACCTCCGGGTTGGGAAAAGGACTGGATGATACCCAACTGGATCCTGTCTGGGGGGCGCTGCAGGATACTGAATCACTTCTATTCTTACACCCACACTACGGACTACCCGACGAAGCTTTTGGTGGCTCGGATGCGATGAATCGCTACGGCCATGTTCTTCCGCTGGCTTTAGGGTTCCCCCTTGAAACGACAATTGCAGTGACTCGAATGCTTTTGGCCGGTGTCTTTGATCGGTTTCCGCGGCTGAAGATCTTGCTGGCCCATTCTGGAGGCACGCTTCCCTTCCTTGCAGGACGGATCGAAAGCTGTATCCATCATGAACGCAAGTTCATTGCCAACGGTGGTGATGTGCCTGGTCCTCAAAGAAGCGTATGGGATGTCTTGAAGACCAATATATATCTTGATGCTGTGGTATATGGCACTGCTGGCTTGCAAGCAGCAATGACAGCATCTGGAACAGATCGTTTGCTTTTTGGTATGATCTTTCGTTGGAGCAATACTAGTTAAATGTGGATCTCGCTCACCAAGTACTAGGTACCGACCACCCGTTCTTCCCTCCCTTGGATAGCAAGGAAGGAGAATGGCCTAGTGTGACGACAAACTACAAGGCCATTCACGCTACATTCGATAAAGATGGAGATGCAGCTGCCGCTGTGTTGGGCGGAAATGCAGCTCGGATTCTGGATTTGAAATGATATCCGATCAGAGTACTGTTAGGAATTATCGAGAGAAAAGAACAGATATTTATAAATTATAGCTATAAACAAATGGAGAACACACCCATGGACTTTCTATGGGAAACCGCCATTTCTTTTGTTGGTAGAGTGGTACTTGGTTACAATTCTGTATTCAAAGCTTTGAAGCGTTGCTTTTCACCAATATTTCCCATCCTAATAGCTTCCATACCTCTTGCGTGAACCAGTCTGGGACTGATTGATCAGGGTCCTGAGAAGGTAGTTGTAGATTGCGAAGATCTTCATCAGTCAGCGCGGGTCGCTGGAGTGACTTTCCCCAAGTCGAATCTGTGCCAAAAACAGCCTGGAGCAGAGTGCTTTGTAGTCTTTCCTTGATATTTGCCACAAATAATATGCTTCCGTCACTATCTCGAGATGCCGATGGAGATGAAGTAAAACTATGCAATACGACCAATGATCTCTCTAATAGCCAGATTAGACACTTCGCCTCCATCTCTGCTGAACACAACGAATTATCGTTGAGGTCAAGTGCTGTCAAGCCTCTAGGGAGTGGAATCTTTGTAGAGTCCGCACGAAGATCAGTTCGTAGCTTTAGATCCTGAAAGACGAACATGCACAGCAACTTTCCGACGCGATTGAGCAAAATGAATAGAAACCCTTCTAGTAAATCCTGGTGTCTCGGACACCCAGGGTTAAGGGAGGAGGCCATTGTGTTTAGCAGTCGAGCCATCTGCGTAGCAACCTCATCATCGATGTTCATATTGGATTCAGGAAACTGTCTATCTTTGACCTTCTTTTTGGTTGCTGCGTATTTTTGCTTGGATGCCTGTGTCTCGTCGGATTTGACCTTGCACCGTTGCTCTAAAGCATTAATCGTTGCTTCATACAGGCGAACAATATGGTAGATGACACGATTGGAATATCGTATGACATTCTCTGTTCCAGATAAAGCTTTCAACGCCCGTAAGAGAACTTGGAAAGCGCATGCCATGCAGCGAAACACTTCAGCGGTAGTCGGCCCTTCAATCCGCGTTGAGCCCTTATTACTCGAAGTACAATGGGCCGCTCTTTTCTCCGAGACTACCTTTGAGATTTCATTTGCAGTTGTCTCGCAGAGATTCACCGCAGCCTTAACAATATCCAAGCCATTAGGCTTCTTCTGAAGGACTTTCTGAAGCGTATAATAATGCCTCATGAATGGGCCGATAGCTAAGACAAGAACCAGTCAGCGCCGCACACAAGAACACGGGCACGACGGAACAAACTAACACTCCTCCGTATAATCAAGTCGATCAAGTCCATCCCATGGAGCTGAGGTATGATCCGATATACCCTTAGAACCCATCTGCGTCTTGGTTCTTTTCCGTGCCGTTGTACCTCCAGTGGCTTTTTCGCCAACGGTTACCTTTCGCTTCGACGACGACTGTTCCGCCTCAAACGGGGTATTTTGGACCTGTAACCTAGCACTGAGGGCTTCATTACGCCTCTCAAGGTCGTAAATGCGATCTACTAGTTTGCTCTGCTCTGCTTCGGACTTTTCGTACGCCTGCTGCCAGAAGGAAACGCTGTCGAAGAATCTATCTTTGTCATGAGTATAGGATTTGTCTGCGTCTCGAGTATCTTTGATATGCTGTCTGATGTTCAGAATATAATCTGTAAGGTTTATTGTTTTTTAGTGAGTAGATACAATCATGGTAGTTTGATGCTATTTACCTCTGATACTCAAGTCTGCTGGTTTATGCTTGACGATTGCTATTGCGAGAGCCAGCTGTGCTGGGAAAGGGACGGTGTCATCGTCCATATTTGCTGAGAGGATTCTTCAGTGATCAAATATGTTCAAGTGAGTAGATTGTTGATACTGTGTGAGTGGAGTGTAGGAGGGAGCTCCGAGCCACGTGGTTTGGTCTACATCATCTAAAGCACTGTTATTGAGTTCATCTTCTAAAACCTTTACAACAAAGACTTGGAATTGAAGACACTTGCTAGGCTGCAGTCTTCTTCTCTTCTCTCACAATTTAGCACTGAAAAAGTTCCATCTTGAAATAACATCCTGCATCCACACCAGCTCCAGTGACTGACTAGGTAGTAGACTCCTCAATGATATAGTAGATCTAACCTAGTCATTGTAAACTTTGCCCTCATAGATATGTTCAAGATCCAATTGGTTTCGCAAATATTTTCCCTCACACTTCCCAGATCGAACCGGCAAGGTATCGTTGATGACATATTTCTCTCAGCAAGCAATGTATTTAAGTCTTGGGGACCGGCAATAATAGCGGAGCGCGAAGTGCGAAGCTATTGTATAGCTATAGCATGGCTCGTACAATAAACAGTTGCACTGCTGGAAAGTTGATATAGATTCATAGGCGAGCAACTTGCAGTGGATTATAGCTAAGTGTTGCCATTGAGTTGGTATTTATCTAGTCTTCTTCTTGTTGCCCGTCTATTAGTGGAGGACAATATAATTTAAATTTATTTATTTTGTTTTATTTTCAAGTTCCGCCACCGCCTCCGCCAATGAATACCATCATTTATTTTCCCAAGTCATTCCACAACATTACATCTCAATCCCCTTCACCTCAGCTGTAACTCGAAAATCAAATAGGGGTAACCCAAGAATACTTGCGTATAAAGCGCAAGTCTCTATACCCTCCCAAGTCACCATATCCCATATCGCTACATTCTAGCAAATTCGAACAAGATGGCTTCCAACGACGATCTCAAGGCGCACGCCGCCTCCAATCAGGATTTTTATGCCCTGCTAGACATATCCCCAGCCGCCGCCGAAGGCGAGATTCGTCGTGCATACCGAAAAACTGCTCTTAAATACCATCCCGACAAAATCGCGAACCCCACACCTGCAGACATCGACAAGTTCCACACTTTACAGATTGCCTACGATGTCCTTTCTGATCCATCGATACGACAGCTCTACGATAATGCGCGGGAGGCGCGGCAGCGGAAGCAGCGCGAGCGGGATATGATGGATGCGGCGAAGAGGAAGATGAGAGAAGATCTAGAAGCGAGGGAACGCGCTGGTGCTGCGGCGATGGGTGGTGCGCCTCGCGGGGTGAAACGGACGTGGATGAGTGGGACAGGTGATGATGATGCGGAGGAGAAGCTGCAGCGGGAAATTGAGCGGATTGCGGAGGATGGCCGGCGGCGACGACGAGAGGCGGAGGAGCGGTTGAAGCAAAAGGCCGATGACGAGGAGAAGCGGAGGCGTCAGGAGGAGGAAGAGGCACAGAAGGCTGCGGATAAGAGTAGTCAGCGGGTCGATCGCTCGCAGGAAGGTGGAGCGAATGTGCCGGAACTCGAACGAGCTGTGAAGGCGCGCTGGGTTCGTGAAGGTAGGGGCTTGGACTTGGATAAGGATCGTTTAACGTCTTTGTTCACTCCATTTGGCAAGGTCGAAAGTGTTGTTGTGCTCAAGGATAAGCGGCAACGTATTGGAGATAGGCGTGAGAAAAAGACTGTCGCAACGGGCGTTGTGGTCTTTACTTCCATCGTGGGTGCGCATGCTGCCGTTCTGGACAGTGAGAAGAAGATACGCCAAGGCGCTGCGCAAACAGATAGCGACTGGGGCTCAATTGACTCTGTATTCTGGGCATCTGGCAACCAACCTGACCTAGGGGCAGGATCTGACAACCGTCCTGCTTCTCCTCCCGCAGAGAAAAGTGAGCCAAAGATGGCAGCTGCGCCTCCCAGGCCTGCATTTAACTTCCCTGGAGTCAAGACGACGGGCTCAGATGGCAAAAAGCCCGGCAAAGCGCCGTCTTTTGGTTCATTCGCTTCTGCTGCAGCCGTAACTGGTTCAGCTAAGCCAACCCCTAGTTCGTCGACTAACGGCCCAAATACCCCTAGCATGGAAGAAGTGACATTAATGCGACTAAAGACTGCGCAGCGGGAGAAGGAGCGCAAAGCTCTTGAGGAGCAGCTTCGGAAAGAAGACGAGGCTGCAGATGCCGCCGAGGCCGCGGCCGCTGAAACCAACGCTTAGTTTACCATGTTTCTCTTGTACACAGGCTACCTTTTTTTTATTACTATAACCGCATATGTTGGGCATCAGTCTTACAGGCTCTCCCTCTAGCCTGCGGCTGAACTCAACCGGACAAATAGCTGGCGTTGTGGGGATTATGTATAGATAGACTAATTAGCACAAGAGATACCCCTTCATCATATGGAACACATTTTGCTTGATTGCTGTGCTATGATACATGGTCGTTACTATACATATGCTATATCATACAAAGATCTATTACTCTTTCTGCCGGAGCGACTCTTCTTCTAATTGCTCTAGGAACTCCCGTGCTCGATGGCCTTGTTCGGCCTCACGACTACGGGTGTTGTTCTTCACTCCTCCATTGAGGATGAAATCTCTCGTCCAAGAAGGCACAAAGGCTTTGACCTTGACCTCTCCAGGCCCCTGGTGTTCTGATGAACCTTCTTCTGCCGCATCCCATGACACTTTGAACTCCTGCTCAGGGCTATACTGGGTGCGCTCGCCAGTAAGAGTAACATCAGTCATCATCTCTAACCGGCACAAGGCAAGACCGATGTTACCAACTCCACCGAGGAACTTGCCCGTACTACGCGCTTTTCGTGCACTGATCTTGTACATATTCGCTGCGCTTGGAGGTAGAGGCAACTCCGCAGTAGGATCATACACGGGAGCCCCAGCGGAATCAAGAACACTTTGATCTCCTGTATATAACTGCACGGGTAGAATACGCTTCCGTACAACACCCGTGTGATGGGTGCGGATCGTAAGCTCCTGGCCCACATAGCAGCCCTTGCGGAAGTCAATTCCCTTCATCATATCCATATTGCACTCCAACGGGAGCGCTGATTCACGAATAATCTCAGACTGGCCTTCGGCAATACCGTGCAGCATTCGGCGCACGGTATAGGCTCCAAGACCCACCTCCGAACCGGCAATCTGAGTCTCATCAGGAACATGAGTCCGGAGATCCTCCGCACCCGGAGTGATGAGGCGGGAGCCGAACCCGGGAGCCCTTGTATCAACGCAGCCGGCGATCGAGGACGATGGTGAGAAAGGAGACGAGGATGGGGTTTCAAGATTATATGCGGCCCAGCGGGGTTGTTCATGTTCCTTCCATGAGGCCCACACCGTGCGTTCGCCGTCTTCGAGAGCACGTAGCTTTAGCTTTGCACGAAGCTTGTGTTTCTTTAAATGTTTCATGAGACTCGCCACTTCGTTCTTATCGACTTCGATGAGCCATGCTGGTTCATCGGGCGACGCAAGGTCTGCTTGTGGGAGCGGGTACAGAAAAGCATCGTTCAGCACTCGACCTTGAGAGTTGAGGAAGGCGGTATAAGATCCAGTTCGACGGGTTGCGCGGTTTGAGTCGTTCGTTATTAACATGTTCTGGGTAATAAGCCCCTGAAGGAAGGTGGTACTATCGACCCCTGTGATGGAAATCAGGCTTCGGTTCGTAAGGCGAGCATAACCGGCTTGCGGCGGGGAAGCTGGAGTGGCATCGCTCTTCTGCTGCGAGCGTGGATGGGCGGTGGTTGAGAAGAGCCGGGCGTTTTTCGAGCAATTAGCACATAACGTGCGGACAGATGGGCTGGGCCGCATCATTGTCATCGGATGGCACTGTTAGAAAGTGGATGTAGCTGCGGAGAAAGTTTACAAATCAACTAAAGCTCCATGGACGATGATATCAATCACCGGGCGGTGGCACGCGGCAGAATATATTTATACTACACTCCACTAGGTCCTTACGATTGACCACTCATTACGTACAGAAAAGTCCAAGAGACGATAAAGAATATAGCCTATTAAATTATCCCATCCAAAGCGCCACGGATCCTGCCCAAATAAAGAGCTAAACTTAGTACTACAAGAATATGGCGGGCACAAGCACGCCTACTTGTTCCCCTTGGCAACCCCTTGCAAAAATCCAAGCAAGAAAGCCTTGTTGTCTGGCGAAGACACTCTCGCATTCAGGCTGCCATTATCTTCTGGCGCGGGAGATTCTCCACTCATCCCAACTGGAGTGGGGAGATTAAGAGGCGATAGCGGACTGACAACGGATGATGTTACTGGCTTTGATCCGGAGATGTGGACATTGAGATCAACTGCGGGCGAAACGCCTGGTGATACTGGTTGTTTGCCAAAAAGGGAGAGAAGAGTCTCTTTTTGAGCAGCGGATTGACTTGGTCGGCGATCAAAATTGCTTGCCTCCCGTTCGGTGCTTGAAATCTGAGGACCATCTTGCTGTTCTGAATGGTGTGGTTCCTTGGTCCGTACAGGAAGTATATGGTCCAAGTTTTGAGAACGGCGTAAGATTTGTGGCTGGAAAGGCTTCGGGGGTTCCGAGGTTTTCGGCTTGCTATCCTTGCGGGTACGGGACGAAGTCCTCGAAGATGATGCCACTGCTGGATTAGGTGATTGCTCTCTCTTAGCGGATTGGGGTCTAGCTAAAATTGTAATGGGTGAAGAGAGGCCTTGTGGCTGTCGATCCTTGTTCTTTCGATTCAGAATATTCTGGTTCTTTTTACCTGGTGGCTTAGCAGTTGCCTCAGGCTGTGGTGGATGCACAGATCTAGATGCGGCGCTTGAATTCAAGGAATTCCTCTTTGGTACCGCACTCACGTAAGTAAGTGCCTGTTGGGTAGGGCTAGAATCACGTGGCCGTTGTAGAATCTGCTTTTTAGTGGGAGAGTTTGCATGGCCTGCTAATTCGGCTGGTGTCGAACCAGAGGTAACTGGAGAACCTCTCAAGAGGCTTAACAATTGGTCCTGATGCTGCGACGACTTGCGCCCACTCATGGGCACCTGCTCTGGCTGTGGTGTCAAAGATGCATGAGAAGTCTTAGGCGTCTTCGAGGATTCATCCTTGAAGACACTCAATAGCGCTAATGAGTGGCTTGTGAGCTTCGGAGGCGGTAGCTTACTGGCAGGCGGTACACTCGCTCCTGGAACTTGAGGGGGCTGAGCTGGTTGAGAAAACGGGTCTCCAGTCTGCTGATAAGGGGCCGTAGGTGCTTGATTTGACGGCACATGCGCGTCGTTGTAGGGTTGAGTAGAGATGTGGCGCGAAGTATAAGCATCTATTCCACCATACCCAGCTGGACGGCTATGCTGATTCACCGCCGGAGATGATTGGGCCAATGACCGATGAGGCATATGCTGATCAAGGACATGGTTGTTTGTATGTGGTATATGAGATAATGCGCTAGGCGGTTGCCGTGGCGAAAATTGTCCGAGATAACCAGGCTGTGCGCTTGGACCTTGCACAGGAAAGCCTGGGAACAAGGTCGGAGCAGGATAAGGTGGGTGTTGAGGAGTCATTGCTGCAGTAATAGCATGTGTTGGCGACGTTTGCTCATTGCTCAGGGCCTGTGGAGTGGGCCCACGGGAGGAGCCACTTCTCAAAAGCTCTAAAAGAGCATTGGATTTAGAGGCGTTAGCTGGTAATGTATCGATAGAGGGAGCCGGAATTTGCTGAACAGCGTCATTGATGTTCAAGAGGCGTTTGAGGTGGGCAGAGGCATCCTGAGATGGCGCAACCTCGGGCAGGTCGCTAGAAGTAGTCAGTCCTAGAGACTGACTGGGCGCCGCAAAACCTTCATCCATCGACATCTCTCCCTCATTCTGTAACACTTGAGTCACACCCGCTTGCATCTTCGTGTCGAGCTTCTTCTGCTGTGCGATCCATTTCTTGAGCGGGTGCATGAACGGTGCGACCATATAAAATTTATTCGCGTTTGCAACAGCCAAGCCCTGATCTTGTTGCTTACTCTTCTTCAACGTTGGCAGCTCCGACAAATTGTACCATTCAATCTTGCTGATTTCTTTTCTAGTGCGCGGCTCAAAGTGAGCATTGCGAGGTACCCCACGAAAGACATATAATCTCATGTGCTGTTCTCGCATAGTAATTTCAATGAACTTGACGTCTTTTTCGTTCTTAACGAGTCCAGCTTCGTGAACATCGAAGCCGGTCTCTTCATAGACTTCGCGAATAGCGCAGTCTAGATCCTTTTCGTCTTTGTTGATTTTGCCTCGTGGGAAACTCCAATTGGCACCCTTCTTCCAGCCTTTGACCAAAACTACTTCGTCCATGTCTTGGCTAAGCATTATAGCCCCGCGCACCGGAACACGAGTCTTATATGCCAGAAACTCCGAGAATGCCGTGATGTGATGATAGTGTGACCATTGGGACATTAACGGACAGTGTTGGAAGATACGCAAGGCGAAAGCTTTTAAGGACAGTGAAGGAAGAGCCGGGTCCAACGGCCGGATGAAATCCTCGTAGAACCATTGTGCTTCCTCGACCTGGAAACATATACGTTCGACCGATTCGAGCTCTTCACGGGGCAAGTTTATAATGAAGCGGACACACAGGTCATCCAGCCCTATTAGAGATCAGCCGTCTCGGTATTGTGGTGGCCAATGAAGACCCATCCCAAGTCAGAAATGAAGGGTAGCAGGCTTACAATCTTCTAAATGCATCTTTGTTTCTGTCATATTGTGCGACGTACCCAAGCATTTCAACTCAGCCTAGGTGGGAAGGGGAGTGAAGGTGTCCGAAGTCTGGGACGCGGAGTGAGAGGATGGGTTGGAGGGGACAGCACAGCGATGATGCAGCTTCAAGGAAGGGTGCTTGGCAAAGCGCCAACCCTGAAGCGTACAGTGGCTGCAGAGGAGATAAGGCGCTGACGGGAACAAACCAATAGTTTGTCGATCGGCGAACCAAACGACTGGAAAATCGAGAATGAGGAAGGTGGTTGAGATAGACAGGTATTGAGTTGTCCTCAACGTAACGAAGACAAGAACAGCGAGGAAGCAAGAGCTGAATCGCAGCCCGCTCGATCTGTGGCGGTGCTGCCCAATGAAAGCCCAATGCGGCATGCCCGTGCGCCACATGTGTGGCGATGTGGCTAGTGTGTGATCATCGGTGGCATTATGTAATTATGTAATGGATTCGGGTGGAACTTGCAAACTGCGGGATGACGTCCTCACACGGGCCATGCCCATGGGAACAGGAATGATTAAAAGCCCACGCATGAACAACAACTGTCTTGGCTAGAGCTTAAATGTTCGCTTCGAGCCCCCCTTGGATTAAATATTCCTACCCTTAGGTGTTACCCGATCTCGTCTCTTAAGAAGAATCTGTATATATAGTCGCCTTCTTACGGTCTTGACGGAAATACACCCGGACATTCGACACAAGGCTTCCTGCCGCAAGCTCACGGGGTACAATCATTTATCTACAATCTGGTTGCAAAATCATGTCAGGCCCACTCGTGTCTTTAGTCGGGAAAAGAATTCTAGCAGAATCGGCACGAAACCATTTTGGAACAGAGGTGAGCTGTCCGCTGCGCCTCCCATACTCTCTCAATACAAAGGTTGGCTAAACATATACATCATAGGATCCATATTTCGAGGAAGTTCCGGCCTCACGTCTGCACCGCGTATTCGGCAAAAAGACTCAAAAGCGGCGCAAGGCAGTACCACCGGGTCTGTCTGAAAATGATCAGAAAGTCCTTACCCAAGTGAAACGCAGGGCATATAGACTAGACTTGTGTCTGTTCAGCCTGTGTGGCATCCGATTTGGCTGGGGCAGTGTGATTGGCTTGATCCCATTGTAAGTACTGGCCCAGCTGTGTAGTTTAATAATACTAATTGTGGTCTTGGTTAGTGCCGGCGATGCTGTCGATGCAGCACTTGCGATGATGGTGGTAAATACGTGCGAGAAGATCGACGGGGGGCTTCCGACACGCCTCAGAATGATGATGCTGATCAATGTCATTATTGACTTCGCCATCGGTCTCGTGCCCTTCGTGGGGGATCTTGCCGACGCCATGTACAAGTGTAACACAAGAAATGCTGTTATGCTGGAGAAACATTTGAGGGAGAAGGGAGCCAAGGCGCTTTCGAAACAGCGAAGACGTCAAGAGAATGATACAGATCCAAGTCTGCCCGACGAATTTGACAAATATGACCAGATGATGGTGGATGGTCCTTCAAGGCGCGAAAGCCATAGACATCACAGCAGGCATCGCAGCAGGCATCGCAGTAAGACCCGCCAAGCAACGAATGAGCCAGCACATCAATCCCACGACAACCGAAAGCATACCAAATGGTTCGGTGGAGCCTCCCATCGGGAGCATGACCTCGAAGCTGGAGTCGTCGACAACTCTCAGAACCGTACGTAACAATCGATATTTATGAAGACACAGGGGTCCATTTTTGCGAATTTGTCTTTATAGGCGTTGGTCGTCACATATACCTTAGGTAATATATGATGCTTTTCGTCTTAGTTTGGTCAATAATGGATCACGAATTTTGCAGAGCCCCATTACGAGCTTGTACTTGGACGTGACCGAGCGCATGCGTAGCAGAATTGAGTGTGTCCACCTTCTACTTCATTCATCAAAGGAGCACCGCAAAAAGCGCAAGGGGACAGATTGGTTGGCATTTGTGAGACGTCGAGTTTATTGGCCGTCCTCGTCACGTTCAACATGACACCGGGGTATTTCTCGCCCTGCGTCAGTACGTACCGCATCATGAGCTCGTCGATGGACAAATTCTTGGTTAAAGTATTTTCTGAAAGTGGTTCATCTGGTACAATAAGTTGGGTGAGTTCCGGGAAGAAACTGGCATAATCTCTCAATTCCGCCGTAAACAAGTCCCGCAGGGGGAAGTTGAACTCCAGGCCAAACGGGGACATTCCGTCGGAGACCTGCCAAATTACTGAAGAACCGCGTCCCTTAGCAACATTGGCAAGTGTTTTCGCAGCAAGTCTACTATCTGAGTCTCCCCAAATCACTGCCTGGCAATCCATTTGCTTTGCGAAGGCCACGATCAGCTGGTTCATCAAGATATAATCGACATCAGCCTTAGAGGTTGACGTTGCGATACACGAGCGGAAGGCATCAAGGCGCTCTGCACCCGACAACGAAGGATCATCCTCGAATCCTTTGCCAGCAAATTGGGACATGGTTTCCTTGAAATCGGGGACTAGGTCGAAGATACTGTGAAACGGAACCTTGGTAAAGGAACACAAAGGGAAGTATTTCTGAGCCAACTCGAAACCTTCATCATGCGCAGGATTCGAGGGCGAGATACTCGAAGGCTCTATTACAAGCACATGTAAATCAAAGCCCGGGGAGGCGTGTATTTTCGAGCGCTGAACTTCAAGCTGAGCATGCAACATATGCAACAGCACCGAGGAGGAGAGACCGTAAGAAAGAGGAAAGAGCAGCTTGCAGGGCTTATCTTTTGCGAAACCTTTATTCAGGCGATAATTTTCCATGCGCTTAAAGACTTTGTATGACACGAATTTAATATAACAGTCTCTGCACAGAGAAAGAGCCGGTTAGTATTTGCAGTAACCCCACTTGGAGAGTAGATAAAATTCGTACTTGCATAAACGCCGCCGCCGCAATGTCAGAATAGCTTCTACATCGCGGCAGTCGACGCAAGGGTCCAACAGTTCTTTGCCAGGCATTTCTGTTTATACCACTGTGTCGGGGTTGCTCTTGTGGTTCTTTGGTTTGTATCTGTTATCGGACAGAGGCAAAATTCCGGCAAGAGGCAGAAATCCCGTTGGCGGTGACATTCCTAGGCTTTGCTCCATTTATAGTTTACTCGGAGAAACGGGCTTAGATAATACTACTATGGTATCGGCGGGACATCAACACGCGGCTTCTCCATCTCAAGTGCAAGGTAGCCACGAATCCCTACCGCCTTACCCAACCAGGTCGGAGCTGCGAACAAAAGTGTCGGCTGTTTCTTCGGAACCCATTATTCTCCCTTCTCTCTCTCCTTCCACCTATATTATCCTCCCTTTACTTTTCTCATGATCCTGTGGTTGTAAGAGAACCATTAGCTTTCGGCATCTCCGGAGCGCGCTTAGTACTACCATCTGTTAGCTCCTTTTCTAGCGATCAAGATGAAAGGCTGGCTCCAGGCCTTTTGTTTAACTGCCTTGCTGGCGGGTCGTGCACTCGCAAATGAAGTGGAATTGGTGCGCTAAACATCAGAAGGATATTTCAAGCTGCAAGTTCTAACAGTTGATCTTTTATATAGACACAGGATGAAGCTCATAGGCAGCGATGTTCGGGAATGTACAGTCGCAAAGCCTGGGGCGGAGATGTTGAGCCCTTCATATTGACTAAATTTGTTCGTGATGGCGACACTGGCGATAGTGACCCTCTCGTCAGCTTGGTGATCTTTGAATGGTCCGACGAAGCTCTAATTGGAAGAGCAGTATCGGATGATGCCGATGTACACTTCTTTCACCATCCATGGAGATATCAACCAGCTGATAAACATCATAGGAGAAGGAAACTATTTGCGACGAAAAGAGTGTCAATGACAAGCTCTGCGAGCCTGGCGATATTGGCTCCTTCATCCTTGCCCCGAACGCAAGCGAGTCCGAATTCACAATTGTAACTCAGGCGATCCACTTGAATAATCCTACCGCAATCAACTACCCCGTGAAGAAAACAGGATTCTACTGTGTGAGCACTTATGGATACTCGGGACGGGACTACAAAGCCGTCGTCGAGTTCAGAAACGCGTATGGTGAACTTCCGGCTGCGCAGATCGCCAAGCTCCCATTTTACGGCGGCTTGACTATCGTTTACGCTCTTGTTGGGGTGTATGTTCATGCAAATTTACTGCAATTTCTTGAAGTCTATACTGATTGGACATAGGTTCTGGGCTTTCCTATATGTACAAAATCGCCACGACATCTGTAAGCGACTTCATCCATCTACCACGACAATTACTGACCCACGACAGTACCTGTGCAGAATTATATCACTGCTATATTGGTCTTCCTGATTGTAGAACAGTTGATGACCTGGGGCTTCTATGGTATGTTGAAGCCGATATACAGTCTAGATACTTGCTCTCTAACAATGTGCAGACTATCAGAACCGACACGGCCTGAACGTTGGTGCAAAGGTACTAATGGTCATTGTAGCCGTGCTTAATGCGGGCCGGAATGCTTTCTCATTCTTCTTGCTTCTTATTGTGTGTATGGGATATGGTGTTGTCAAGCCTTCCCTCGGTCGGGCCATGATCTACGTTCGCGTCCTCGCTATCGCCCACTTTATTTTCGCCGTCATCTACGCTGTTGCAAGTCTATCAATAACGCCAGACAGTGCTGGTCCCCTTGTTCTTCTTATTGTGTTGCCACTTGCGGGCACCTTGACTGCCTTTTATGTGTGGACTCTGAATTCGTTGAATGCAACCATGAAAGATCTTATCGACAGGAAGCAAAAGGTCAAAGCATTGATGTACAAGAAGCTGTGGTGGTGCATCTTGGGCAGCATCATCGTGATATTCGGCTTCTTTTTCATCAATTCAATTGCCTTTGCCGGCCGCAGCGAAGCAAGCTTTGTACCAGAACATTGGAAGAGTCGGTGGTTCGTGTTGGATGGTTGGCTCAATCTGGTCTACCTGTTTGACATCGGATTTGTCGCCTACTTATGGCGCCCCACTGCCAACAACAGGCGCTTTGCAATGAGTGATGAGGTACGGCATTATTCCAACATAAAGAAAGGAAAATACGAATGATTGTACTGATATGATCTACAGATTGCTCAAGATGATGATGGGTTTGAGATCCGATCATTCAACAGCGAATTGGACGAGGAAGATGCGCTTGGTGGTATCCCAGAAAGTTCTGCCCATGAACAGCGCCGTGATCTCTCGCCTGTGCCCCCTAAACCCGTCCCGGCTGCACCGCGCCATCGGGAGTCCCTTGATGGAGAAACCATCTTTGCCGTCGGCGAGGATGGAGACAAATGGTCAGATGATGAGGATGATTTGTCCCGCGAGTCGGGCGAGAGAAAGCGGCTTACCGGCAAAGATGCTTAGAAGTGCATAGCTTCACGAAAGCTAGTTCTTTCCCCTTCGAATTGAGCAACGATTATTTGTGACTGCAAGGCGCGCGTCACTATGTACTGATATCATTGAGGATGAAAGATGCCTTTATTGTCAACTATTTGAACGAATCGACGCATTGGGCTTTATTGGTCCTTCTCAGGCATATAACGGCGTTTGGCTCGTTGGAGTTTGTGTCAATTCCGTCTTCTCCCCAGCCAACAAGGAGAAGGGAGAAGAAAGAAAAGAAAAGAAAACCACTAGTTCTTACGCCGCATCTAAACTTGGCGACATGGAATTTGCGATATTTCCTACTCCTGAATAGTCTATGATACTTATGTACAGTTATCACATATTTATGATCCATTATGCGACGAGATCCACATTCTATCTGGAATAACACTGAATATTAATAATCTATATAAAGCTTATCTGCCTCTCCTACAAAGGGATCAGAAACTATAAGAAATACCTATACTTGTGATCTCTACAGAGAGAATTGAAAACATTATTTCTTTTTCCAAAGAGATGTCTTATATATAATATTTCTTTTATAGAAGGGGCAATATTCAAGACCTCAGCTTCAAACATAAGAGAAGTTAGGGGGAGATTATGGCTGCTTGAGCTACGGGATGATAGTGTCATATCATCGATAATTCTAACATCGATGTACTATGACCTTCGGCATCTGGAGGGAATGTCTGATGGCTCTTCCTAAGTCGCGGTCTAAGCGGGAACTTCTGATCTGGTCACGGTACCCTAGAATTAGTTAATGAGGGTGGCTAACCTTCTTGCTCTCAGCACGAAACAAGATGGCTAGTTATCATCCTTGCGACTTCAGCATGATTGCGAACGCACCTTCCCGTAGCCGGTCATCTGGAACTTATTTCCCAGCGGCTCTTTCCTCTTTGGTAAACAATCCACTCTAAAAGAAAAGGTGACAGCGTTCTAAGTGTTGATCCCTACAGAACTACCGCCTTTTATGATCGGGTGAACACATCACCGGACCCATTGTCATGACGCCGAGATTAGGCGTGTCGCCATTTATGAATCTTAGATCTATAGATAAGATGTTCTTCGACATCGTTCAAAGTCGACACCTGCGCACATCTTACACATTTGTTGCTGCGAGGCGCAGTCCGAGCTAGAATTGAAACGAGCTACCATGCCTCTGTTGTGCTAAGACCTACCCAGTTCGCAAACTTTTGATGAACGTGCCACCTTGTGCTATCACCAGAAAGCTTTATCAATAAATTAAGGGGTAAAACCAGAGAAGAGGCAGAGCGGGTGTATGGGTTGGCTTTATGCAGCGATTGCTGGTACCACGGAATCGGGAAAAACTACTTTGATGCGTCTTGTAGCAAATGAACTGCTCAGGATATATGGCGAGGAGAAGCCTATTTACTGCCTTTCAGGATGGCCACAAAGTGTCTATGATATAGGCTGGGCCGCGCGTTTAGAGAAGAACACCGGCGCACACGGCCGCAACTGGCTCAACTACTCATCTTATTTACTTCTAGATGAAGCTCAGTTGTTATACTGGCATGATAACCTCTGGTCAGAGTTCTTCGAAAGTGTCGAGCTGCTTGGTACTGGCTCATTCATAATTCTATTTATGTCTTGTGGCTCACCGCACAGGGGATTCATGGGTTTTGGCGGGAAAGAGCATGCGGAAACTCCGATCAACTTTGCCCCCGAACAGTAAATTTCCTTACATCCTGAAGGTAGCATTGGACCTGAGCCCACCACGTTGGAGGCCAGTTGGTCTACTGCTTAGCGAGGATGAGGCAGGACGTGGTCGGCCGTTTCGCACCCGCTGCCTTAAGCTCAAATATGACTGAGACTCTGACACACGAACTGAAACGAGGACTCTTTGCGTGCAGTAATGGACATGTAGGGTTGCTAACAAACCTCACACGTGTTCTTCAGGACACACCGGTGAGCCTGACTTCGGGGCAAAGGTACAGCCGATGGGTGCAGGAGTCGATACTACTACGGGTGGAGTAGCTTTTCCAGAGTCAACCAATTTAGTACGGGCGTTCTAGAGATCGCAGCGCGACGCATACAGGAGGAGGCCGCGCAGGCTGGACGGAAGGGTGCGCTGAGTCGTGCTCTTCAGGAACGCCAACAGGACACGAACAATCGTGCCTGGGAGCACATGCGGCTTGACAAAGAAAGGCCACATCTACAGGCTAGATGTGATATATGCGATGCGGCCATCAAGCCATCACAGCAGAAAATTGAGAATGCCGCCGTAGAAGAGTATTGGCTTTGGACGAAGTACACTGGGGAGCTACTATATAGTAGGCTTGATAGCGCGGTGACCAAGCTATCTCGTTAAACATACCAGCTTTCCCTTGAGATAGCCAATGTTGCCCAGCGTGCTGTGCGGTCATTCTTGGCAGTGCCATGTGCGGATAAATTTAATGGAAGCATCCATAAATGTATAAATTAATGCATTGAGCTTGACGTCACGGGTAAACTTCCCCAACATTGAACATGACTTCTATGGAATTGGTCTGTTTGATAGGAACCGGATCTTCCCTAAACTCGTGACAGTAAGTAATTCGACTGTCTGAAAAATATGGGTAACAGATATAAATTCCAAATTCCCAAGCGCGACCAGGTCCTGTACCGCCTCAAAGATTCGTTGAATTCGCCCTCGCCTCATATGCATTGGTAGTATTGGTCGTTTCACCCAATCTTATTCATCGGGGCAATATGCTCCTGGCTCTCACTTGTTTCATATACTCTTATGATTTCTGTCTTCTTCGTGATCCCGCCCTTGAGGCGGCTGTGTCGGGATCTGGGGGGTTCGAGGCTTGCGGACTGGCTTGATTCCCCTTGAGAGGCATCGGCAGAACTAAATGGTGCATGAATCTTAAAGAGTTTCCGTAGGGAGGACAGAGATCCCGACATGAGGCCGAGGTTGAACTCGACTTCCATCCAGATAAGGGATGTCGAGGCCGAGTCTGGTGGATCAGCATGGTCCGTTTAAAAGGGGTATGGCGAAGCACTCACAGGTGAAGTTCGTTGTGTCGTTGGTAAATTTAAGAGTTGAGAATCGCACAAGAGCGGCGATGCATGCGGTAAACCCTGGCCCTTCATCAGTACCCGTTGGCTCCATCATCTTAGCTGGTTACTGACCAACACATAGCAGCCCTATGACAAGTAACCGCTTCTTTAACGGCATTTGCAATTTCCAGATTGGTCGCATTGGGAGCACAAGTATCATCACATCAAGTACAAACATGATGACTCCCTGCATCATCAGAATGGCATATGAGGTCTCAGTCGGGTAGCAGCTGGCATTGGGAATGGTCTTATCATAAGCTGCCTGGACAGGCCGACATTGAAACACCAGGGCCAGAGTGCCAGATATTGTGAAAACAGCGATAAATAGCAGGAGGGACTTTCCGGCAACCTGGATGAACCGAGTTGGGAAGAGGCGCATGATGAACACGAGTAGACTGGCTTTGACTGCTGCTGCAATCACAAGGTAGGCGCATTGCGAGGCATATTCGAGCTGCGAGCGTTAGTCTAGGTTGATGAGTTTGAACTGCCAGTTATACTGACTGTGAGGAAGACAGCCAAGTCATCGACGGATACGTTCTGTAAATCCTGTCCCAGCCCATAGTACGTGATGGTATACGCAAGCGCAGAGAACAAATTTACTCCGATCTAAATTATCAGCAACCTCACACTAGCGGTGTATTTCCACACTGAACTCACAAGAGCACACAGTACCAACCAGTCATCGAGTCCGAATCGTTTTATAACGAACTTGCGCAAGTATATCTATCATATCTCAGCGCACTTCTTCCGCGACAGAAGTGTCAAACCTACCCGAAGCATACACACCAATGTCGTTGCAATTGCCAGAACCAACACGATGACCCGTACAGCAATTGTCATATGCGATAAGCCTTCGCCATCCCGCCCTTCAATTGACCTTCCCATGCCGACCGTCTCTGGTGGTTCATCTGGGCGTGGCTCCCAAAGGACATGGGAGAAAAAGGGCACATGGGGAGGAGCCCAGTAGGTATTGCCCTTTCAAGTTTCGCGTCGGCAGCGCCGCTTTCTCAAATTACTCCGGAGTACACGACATTGCAATTGTGGAGTAAATACATACGCTAAACTCGACGGCTGCCAGACATTGACGGAGAATGCGATCCTGGTGGCTGTAGTTCGTCGCGCCGGCCCGCATAGCGCCCTGCTGGCTTTGGGGCCGAGATCCACTGGCCCGTATCAAGATCTCGCACGACCTTTTACAGGCTTAACCTTGTTCCTTCCTTTGTTTTTTTTCTTTTTTTTCTTTTTTTTTTTTTTTTTTTTTTTTTTTTTTTTTTTTTTTTTTTTTTTTTTTTTTTTTTTTTTTT